TACATAAGTAATAATTTTCTTGAACAGATTTTTTTTTAAGGCAAGAGAAACACCACTGATTTCTCTATCCAGGCTTTTGCAATGCATCCAGCATAACACTCTGCTGGAAGTTTTTACTCAGCCTGAGGAAAACAGCATAATATATGAAAAGTGGACAAACAAAGGAGAGAAGTTGTATTGAAAGAGGATATGTTGGTCTGCAGGGAACTTGCTAGTGTTAATGTTCCAAGACCCATTTTGTACCACTAGAAGAGAAAGTGTCAGAATATCAGTCAAGAAGCAGCTGGTCTTAATGACAAAATTAAAATAAATAAATAAATAAGATAAAACAGCATTGAAGACACAGGCAGGTTAAGAAGAGATAGAATTATTTCCAGGGAGAGACGAAAATATTCTTGTTATCAAACAAGTCATAGGATAAAGTCCAGCTGGAATACAACACACAGTTCTAGATAACTGCTCTCAAGAAAGATGAATTAACTCTTACTGCAAAGGATGTAGAGAATTACTAGAATGATCAGAAAGAGAGAAGGATATTATCAGTTTACTGTTCTCACATTTTCTGAAATCACGCTAGGTGGATTTAAGTACATCCCTCCAGGAAACCCTAACATAAAAGAGGCCGGAAGCTTTCATAGTACTTTTAACATATTACTCTGATTTTGTCACCGGCCTCTTCAGTTATTTTCTGCCCATTTATCAGCACAAGATTCCTACAACGCAGCACTAACATCCCTGGCACGGCTTTCTCGAGAAGCGCTCCCTTCCCGCGCCGCTCCACTGATCTGGCTCCGAACGCGCGGTGGGCGCTTCGCAGAATTCCCACGCGGGAGGCGCGGGGACGGCGCTCTCCCCACTCACGTTCTTGGTCTCGTTCACCTCGTTCCGGCCCTGGCCCAGCACCTCTCCGTCGCGGACCAGGAGGCAGCCCACGGGCACCTCGCCGTGCTCCAGCGCTTCCCGGGCCTGCGCGACACAAGCACGCGGATCAATGAGCACATAAATATATAAAGGCGCATATAAATAAA